CGTAGAAATGCACAGCTATTGATTATTGATATTATTTCCATTATTACACATTTATGACTTAATATGCATTAATATAATATAAATAATATATGTAATGATATAAATAATAATGCACAGCTCTTAAATTGTATGCATTTCTATGATAAAGAGAAAATGTGAGAGTGGTAGCCTAGTTTTCTTATTCATTTCATTTCATTTATTGCAAAAATAAACACAACAGGAGTTGACCAGGATTGGATTTATATGCTTTATGTCGATTAATATTGCGACCACATTATTAAATATTTGTCACAAATACAAATGAAAACGTACAATTTATTATTAGCTTTGTAAAATGCTGTGCATTTTAGTTGATTGTGCACATTTTTATATTCATTATCTGTCCTTTTTTAACAGATGTATTGCCATATTACACAGCCTATCACATGGCATGCAGAAAAAAATATACCGTAGTAATAATATTATTTGGTAACACTTTAGTATAGGGACCAATTCTCACTTTTAACTAGTTGATTATTAGCATGGCTATTATTAACATATTGACTGTTTATAAAGCACATATTCTGAATGACCATATTCTACATCCCAAATCCTACCCCATACCTGAACTTAACAACTACCTTACTAATTATTAATAAGCAGCAAATTGGGAGTTTATTGAGGCAAAGGTCGTAGTTAATGGTTTGTTAATAGCAAGAATTGTATATTAAACTATATTGTTATGTATAGTAATATTCATAGTAATATCATAGTAGAAATATTATTCATATTCAGCTAATTCAAGTCAAGTCAAGTCAAGTCTGCTTTATTGTCAATTCTTCCACATGTACAGCACATACACACAGAGAATTGAAATTGCGTTACTCTCAGACCCTTGGTGCATACAGATAACACTAACAGTAGAACATAAATACAGATATACAGATTAAGTATAAAAATACAACTATACAAATATACAAATAAGGTAAAATGTAAAAAAATATATAAAAAATATATATAAAGCAGCACACGGCACATGGCAGATAGAGTGCAAACCAGTTCAAATGTGTAAGCTTGAAATAGTTTAAGTTTAACCAGAAGAAAACATTAACTATGACTATTAAAAAGAATGAAAAAATGACAGCTGATTAAACAATTTGAGCATTGGTCAGATGTACTTTCTATGAGATAATCTTACTAGATAACTATTTGATGCTCCACACTGAACAAAAAGTGGTTAGATTCAAGTGTTAATCTAGGATGCATGTTCTTTCCAAACTATTGAAAGAAACGCTTTAGGAACATCAGGAACTTCTCTTTGTGTCATGTGATTTATTTTGGAACACTGCAAAATCAAAAGATGTGAGAAAACATTTTCCATGTTTTCTAGACACATGTATATTGTGTTGCCAAAGGACGTGTACATGCACACACAGGAATACACACTCCCACAACAAACTAGAGCATCGGTTTCCACATCCACAAGTTATCATCACTACTAAGACGAGGCGATTAAATGCCCAAAGGAAAAAACTGAACATACACTGATCATTATGTCTGAACAAGAGTTTTTCCACCCTCCAGTATTTCTTGGTTTCCCTTTGGGTTTTGCACAAATAAATAAGCTGAGTGTATTTTAATGTGATGTTCTGGGTACACCATTAAAGCGTGTGTGTCTGTGTATTCACGTTCCTGCAGTAATTATAGCCTGACAGTGGCTGACAGCATGACCTTTTGGGTCAGATCTGCTTGTCAGCTCATTTGCACTATTAAAAGTGATTGTGTGTGTGTGTTTATGAACACAAAAGGGTGACTATTTCACAGAACAGAAAGGCGCAGAATTCAAGAGTAGGTGTAGAAAGCCACAGTCAGCTTCTGGAAAACATGCTGAACTAGAACCAAAAAGTTTTTCAAGACAAACTTTGAAGGTTGGTGTAGCAACTCTTTGTCTCCAAATCATGCAGTTCTTATAGGCCTTAAAGACAGGCGAACAGATCACAGATGTTTCTGATCACAATTATAAGCATGTTTCATGGTTTATCGTTTCGTTCATTCGGTGAGGGATACAGACATCAGACTGATTTCTTAGTTTCATGTCATCTCATGCACAGGAAGTCCATCTGAAATGTAAACCAATTAATTCCTCTTCTTTTTTCCACTATCCATATGAAATGATTGGTATTGACAGCTGAAGTATTGGACGTGACAGCGCATAAAGAGGTCTGATTTATTCGATTACACGGTGATTCCCTCGCTGCCGTTCTCCCATCAGCTGGCCGACTGTACAAGAGTTTGTGGAGATTTTGAAATGATGTGAGCTGTGCATAATGAATTTCAGTGAGGCTTAGAGGAAGCCCAGCAGAATAATGTTTTCTTTTAAGAATAAGACTTTGGTCGCCTGTCAGTTCCTGGCCCGTTATATGCCTCATTGTAATTCTGAAAGAAAATTAAGGCTTCTTCAGGACGTCTTCAAAAGCAAGAATGTGATGCAACACTCAGCTCACACCCAACGTCATGTAATCTAGCAAGGCCAGCTAAGGGCACAAACAAGTCAATGACAGACTCCACATTCAAAAAAGTAAACAAACCTACCATAGTATTATGACCGTTTTTAACACAGCTCTGTTCACAATAAAATACTGTTGTCCCATTGACTGGATCCGCAGTTTAAACCCCAGTCTAGAAAACCATGAGAAACACTATGCAATGATGAATGTTTAAACTGTTTTATGCTACTGAATGTGGCTGTGGAACATGTTTATAGTTACAGTAATGTGCTGACCTACAAGCGGTGGTTAGTCTGCTAGAATGTGACCTCAAATGACCACTGCATCACTGAGCAAAAATGATGAGGAAAGATAAAAGATCCTGCAGCATTTGTCTGCATTAGAAGATTGGTTTGATATTTATATCTAATGCAATAACATTCTGAAATTTGTATGTGTGACCAATATGCAAAAGTGTACAAATACATGTTTTGGTCACTATATTCTCTGCAGTGTGTTCTGGTTATATACTGCACATTACGTAGCAACTCAAGTCAAGTCAAGTCAAGTCACCTTTATTTATATAGCGCTTTATACAATACAGATTGTGTCAAAGCAGCTTTACAGTGTTAAAAAGGAAAAACGTGTGCTGATAATGCAAAAGGACAACAGAAAACAGTCGTTGATTCAGTGATGTCATCGTCCAGTTCAGTTCAGCTCTCTTCAAATAGTGTCTGTGCAATCAAGTCAACAATGTTGCCAGAAATTGTGTCCCCAACTAAGCAAGCCAAAAACTCCATCGGTGACAGAAATGGAGAAAAAACCTTGGGAGAAACCAGACTCAGTCGGGGGGCCAGTTCTCCTCTGGCCAGACGAAACCAGCATGATGTGGTTTAATCCCAGGCTGCAGCACAGGTCAGATTGTGCAGAGGACTTGTCTGGTTCCCGTGGTCTTGTGCCGATGGTCATCGAGGTGATGAGGTCTTCGCAGGGGATCTGTCTCTGGGGCTCATCTAGTTGTCCTGATCTCCGCTGACATTCAGGGCTGTAGAGTTTATCTCTAGGTCCTGATCCACCATCTGATCTGGATATGGACTGGATCTGGTGGCTACGGTAACCTCTGAATAAGAATGAAACAGACTAATATTGTTTCGTCGGGACACAAAGAAATATAGAGTTGAGTATCATCAGCATAACAGTGAAAGCTAACACCAAGTTTCCTGATGATATCTCCCAAGGGTCACATGTAAAGTGTGAAAAGCAACGGTCCTAGTACTGAGCCTTGTGGTACTCCATACCGCACTGTTAAAAAGGAAAAACGTGTGCTGATAATGCAAAAGGACAACAGAAAACAGTCGTTGATTCAGTGATGTCATCGTCCAGTTCAGTTCAGCTCTCTTCAAATAGTGTCTGTGCAATCAAGTCAACAATGTTGCCAGAAATTGTGTCCCCAACCAAGTAAGCCAAAGGCGACAGTGGCATTTATCTCTAGGTCCTGATCCACCATCTGATCTGGATATGGACTGGATCTGGTGGCTACGGTAACCTCTGAATAAGAATGAAACAGACTAATATTGTTTCGTCGGGACACAAAGAAATATAGAGTTGAGTATCATCAGCATAACAGTGAAAGCTAACACCAAGTTTCCTGATGATATCTCCCAAGGGTCACATGTAAAGTGTGAAAAGCAACGGTCCTAGTACTGAGCCTTGTGGTACTCCATACCGCACTTGTGAACGATATGATACCTCTTCATTCACTGCGACGAACTGATGATGGTCAGATAAGTATGATCTGAACCATGCCAATGCAATTCCACTAATGCCAGCATAATTTTCTAGTCTATTCAGAAGAATGTTGTGGTCGATATCTTAAAATAGAGTGTCTTAGACAGTATGCAACCATAAATGTTTTAAACAGTAGTATGAGTATGTCAGTTTTATAAAACCACACCTTATGTGAGCGTTCGTTTGAATATATTACTTAACCAATATTTGAAGAGGCTTAACGATAATATTTGCTACAAATCTAGAATTGAAATTGTATATTTCAATTTTTATATTCTATCATCAATCAATTTGTTCTGTGTTATTTTATTATGGAGATTTGTTAATTGTGACCTGCCATGGGACTGTGGATGAAAATTACCCATAGGTACAATGCATTGAATGAAAACGTTTATGTTAAATATCGGTCCCTTTCCAAATAAATAAATAAATAAAATTGGGAAAAAAGCTCTGACTAGTCTAAAGAAAGACATTTTTTATACCATTGTGTTTTTTTCCAATATGTATTGTATTGTCTATTGCATTATTGTTTGAGCCAAAAAAAGAAAAAAAGGCCGTTTTATGAATGAACAGGATCTCCATCTATGTCTATGCAGCAGCACACTGCCCCCCTCAGGACAAAACGCGCATCGCGTGACATCAAAGCCATGAATTCCTCTGAAATGACGTCAGAGGGTCCCGCGGAGTAGGGGCGGAGAGCGCCTATATAAAAAATGCATGCGACTTTGACGCTTCACTCTACTAACCTCGACCTGAACGGGTCAGCCACATCAAAGGATCGAGGAGCGCTGCGTTATCACTACATCTCAGATTCCATCATCAACAGACTGTCTGCAACAGGCTACAGGTGAATCTACTGTACACTGCAGGTAAGACAAGGATGTAAGCAACTTTATATCTAATATTCTCTCATCTGCGCTTACAAATATACTGACCAGATTCATTTGATATTGCCACGTTACTTGGGCTATTTGCACCTGTACCTGTAGTTTTTGATGTGTTTTGTGGCGAACAGGACAGAGCTTGTCATGAGGGCGGCGTGTGTGATCATCTTGGCCTCTCTGGCGGTGTTCATGTCACCCGGGATCCAGTGCCAGACTCTGCCGGGTGAGGGTGACCCGTCTCTGGGTGAGCTGTTCCAGCGCGCGGAGAGTCTGCTGCTCCGCTCCATTCTCACACAGATGGAGGACGAGAACAACGCCGATGGTGTCTGCTCACATTCACATTCACTGTCAAAACATAGTTAGAAACTTACAAAACAGCAGATCAACTAGAAGTGCGTCCCAACACTCGCATATTAGACGACTGCGACATGACAGTTCATAGAGATAGACCGAAATCGTGTTATTTTTAACGGCACAATAGCAACTATTCACTCGACCACTAAACTATAATACTTTTTTAAGTTAACAACAGGAATAATAATAACGTTTTTTCTTTCTTATTAATAGCCTACGTTTTGTATTAATAAGATATGAAGACCCCCTAAATGGTGTAATATCGCTCAACCCAATATCGAAGTAGAAAACTGTAAAATCCGCATAATCAATCATCGGTTTATCTCTTTTTATGTGTAACAAATGCTCAATAAATACACTTTGTGCTATTTTTTTTTATTTTTTAGAATAGCCTACATTCAGAATCGCAACGAAACATAAGAGCCGGGAATCACAAGCACAAAGTTGCAAAGGAATCCCTTGGAAGAAACCAAATATACACAATTATAGACTGTAGAAATGATTCTGCTGAGTTATTAGAGATGTTTTCTCCGTGTTCATTTGGCGTCATCAAGGCAATCATAAATGTCTCCATAGAGTTGTTGAAGTTGTCATGCTTGTCTGAATCCCTCTCCAGGAGAGCAGACGGAGTGGCTGGAGAAGAGACAGCACCCGGGCAAGCGGCAGCATCCCGGGAAGCGCGAGGAGGAGGACAGCGCGAGGCTGAGGAGGCAGCATCCCGGGAAGCGGCTGTCTCTGGAGCAGGTGATGCTGGAGGAGCCCACCGCGCAGAGCGAGCCGGCCAAACGCCAGCACCCCGGGAAACGCTACCTGATGCTGCTCCACAAACGACAGCATCCCGGCCGGCGCGAGCTGCAAGAGGCAGCGGGAGACTTTTCGGACCTAGCCAAACGCCAGCATCCCGGGAAGAGACTGTGTGAGGACTGGGACGTGTCCGGCTGCGATCAAGCCAGCGTCCTGCTCGAGCTTCTGGACAACGTGAACAAAAGTCGCGCAGAGGAGAAGAGACAGCATCCCGGGAAGCGCTTTGAGCTGGAGGACGATCTCACGGAGCAGGAGTCGCTGTAGGGAGCGACTGAAAGGCTTTACCGAGTTGTCCGAGTTGTTAAAACGGGCGTGTTCATTGTTTTCCACAGCATCCGATTCATGGAAAACGCGGTTACACTTTATTGTAAGGTGTCTTTGTTACACTGTAGGCTAAGTACAGAGTAATATTAATTAACTACATGTGCTTACTATATAGTTAGGTTTAGGATTAGGGTTTGGCTTAGGGTTACTTGCATGTATGCATAATTAATTTGTATTATAATAGTAAGTACATATAACATGTGTAACAAGGACACCTTAAAATAAAGTGTTACCGAAAACCATGTGTTTTACTGGTCGCTTTGTCGTTTCTCGTTTCGTTCAAGCACGAGGGGGTTTTCCAGGCGAATCGCTTTTCGTTTCTACACCGATTACCTTCAAACCTGTTCCCCATTCCGCTGTGAGACCCGGGTTCTGTTCCGCACACAAAACCCTGTTGTCCAAGAGGTTTGTCTCAAACGAAATGCCCCTTAACTGGCCGAACCTGATCGTATTCATGCGCTCGGGCTGTTTCGGGGAGCATTTCACTAATGCATGATGTGAGCAGATCCCCGGACCCCGACTCCGCAAATCTCCCGTGTTCATCTCCTTTGATTTGGTTCGCTAAACTATGAAACGGTTGCCGAAATATTTTTCTACAGTAGCTGGATTCTTGCATGACTTGACCTGTACATTTTCATGATTTATTTATTTTTGTTCTATTGATAAAGAGCATAAAAATGACAATAATGTTGTACAATAAAATGCTTTCGATGCGAATGTCTGCTTTGGGTTTGAGCTTCAAACAATCACAAAGAGGAGACACAGAAAGTCATAACAGCGTAGTTCGTTGTAGATTGCATCAGATTCAGAGTCAGTCCAGGACATTAAGAGCTCAGCATCACACACACACCATCGAAACACGAGGCTTCTTTCAAGAAAGCCAGTTCATTAAAGACTGTTTTACAAAAGACTACTACTTATTGGCAAGAGAAGCAGCTTAATTCTGTGATCGGGGCATGTTGTCACAATGGGAACCTGCTGTTATTGACACTGATTTGAGAGAAATGCCTTTCAAAAAATACAATATCAATTGAAACATGCATTTCAGGCTATTTAATACATTTTCAATGCCAATACAAATACTAATTCATGCAACATCATCGATGGAAAAGGTTACAAAAATATCTTACCATTGTTTTAGCCAAGATAATCTGTAATCAGTTCATTCAAAATTATAAAATGACAACATTAAACGCTCATGTGACGGCTTGCCACAACCTGACATGCTTGAAAAAATACCCCCTACCTTCATTTTGAGGTTAACTTTCGTCTGAAATTCTGCCAGTGTTTATTGTGTCCACTTTTTATTCAAAATACGATGCTAATGAAGCTTAGTTAGGAGGACAGAATTCACAAGACACATCCTTATTTCAGGCAGTTTTGATCTGGATGCTCGGACCGCATACATTAGTCCGAGTGTGGTGTAGGACCTCATACGCTCAACAATCAGAGCTGAACTTCAAGCAAGCAGCAGTCCATGGGGTGTCCTTTAATTAGCCTTTACTCTGTGGAACTCAAGCGGGCCACAGAGACCTCGTGGGTGGATGGGATCCGTTCCTCCGCTCCAGCTTTCAGTACACACATCAACTCGCCATCAAACAGCGTAACAGAACACGTCAAGCTTATCACACAATTATAATCAGATTGTATTTTTTTATTGTGTCCCCCAGCTTAATCTGCCAACAGAATAACTTTTAGCTGACAAGTATAATCTAACAAGTCTCTAACTCTCAGAGACTCACAGTAACAACAGTGCTTGACGTAAATGACATGCCACCTTTAAAAAAACTCAGTGTGGGTTCAGACGAGCTGCCTACAAACACCGTTGATGATAGCTGCAGAAATACTGTTTCATAGTGGTCAGCAGTTTTAATTCACACTAAAAGATCATGTTCAATAAATCACAAGTATTAAATGATAAATACTTCAAATGATTTTTGTTGTAGCCTAATACATTTTTGTCTTTGAGCTTAATGGGAATGTGTTTGTGAAGGTCTGTGCATGTGCTCTGTGTTCAGGCAAGGGTTAGGATGAAGGAATCCAGGATCACCACACATTCTCTTGGCTTTATGGGAAGACACCTCAACACAGTCTATATGCCTTGTACTTCTATGCATTTTGAAATTTTGTGATGTTTCATCCCAAAGATATACATTATTTAAACAGGGCACCCCACCATTTATGCTTCACGTTTAAATAATGTATATCTTTGGGATGAAACATTATACAAATGTAGAATGAGAGATATAATAGATATTACGCAAAACTTTTTAACATGTCAGTAAATACACTGATATCTAGGGCTTGGCTTCTGACTGGAAGAGCAGCAGACAAATGTTTCTTTTATTTATTGGTTTGAAGGAGTCGTTATGATTAACACACACATTAGCAAAGCCTTTCTAGTGAGTTCAAAGCATATTTGCCAGCGCACACGTCTTTGCCATCTAAGGCTTTCATTATAATGTCCTTTCTGATTTCCTTTATTTATATATTTTTATATTTCATGTCATTACCCAAACAGACTGGGGTCATCATATTGTTATTGGCCTTAAAGTGATAGTTGATCCAAAAATGTAAATTCTGTCATCATTTACTCACTCTTATATTTTTCCAAACCTGTAAGACTTCTTTTTTTTTTTGGAAAACACAAATTAAGATATTTTTAATGAGTTTCTGTCTTTCCACTGACAGTCCATGCAACTCAACCTCTGAAGACCCATTAAGGTATCATAAAGGCTTCATTAAACTAATCCATATGAATCAAACTGTTTGAGTCTTGTGAAAAGATATAATCACTTCATATGATGAGCCTCAGTTCAGTGTCTGCTCTCGTCTACTACAGTGTGAGCTATACGTGCCCGACTACTTACCTGTCTAAGCACAACTCATCTTCATTTATTTCGTCTTCAACCTCCATCATCTTCGTTGGTGTTCCTCTGGTTCAGTATCCATCTCCTCTTCAGCTTGCATTCGAGACTCTGTTAGTTAAGTGGTGGCTTCTTCCATTCCTCTGACATACCGTTCTTCTGTGTTGGCATTTACCTCAGTCTGTTCAATAAACACCAGTTACCCCGATCCTGAGTGCCTCCGCCTCTGATTGTGTGACACTAGAACTGCTGGATGACTTTTTGTAAGATACCTATTACAGTATCAGGGTTTAAAGTAAATTTACAATAGTACTTATGGGAGATTATGACAGTAAATTTTACTTCTCATTTGATACCGCTTCACGAAATTTCTTTTTAAAATACGATTTAGAATAAAGTTTATTCTAAAATAAGAATAAAATTAGATACCTGGGAATATGGGTCACATATAAATGCAAAGATCTTTACAATGCTAATTTTCCCCACTTCTAATTAATTTGAGGAAAGACTTTGTGAGGTTATTACTAGATTAATGACTGTTAAATAAACTATCAATAGGGGGCAGAATTGGCATTATTAAAATGAGTGTACTCCTACATTTTTTTACTATTTCAGTGTATTTCATTTGAAAAATCACATTTCTTTAGACATTTGCAGTAAACAAAAAAGTGTGTGTGTGTGTGTGTGTGTGTGTGTGTGTGTGTGTGTGTGTGTGTGTGTGTGTGTGTGTGTCTGTGTGTGTGTGTGTTTCTCGTGAGGATGGGATTCTTTGTAGGTATTACTGAAATGAATAAAAAAGACTTTGACCAAAAATAATTTTTGAAAAAGAACTATCCTTTTAAAACAAACAAATAATAATTGGATGTTAGTACAGATGAAGTAGGACCATATTTCTGTCATGTACTGTAAATCCTACTGCCATTAATAAGACCATTCATTTAACTGCATTTAACTGTGATGTTGTCATTGTGTTCATCTGAGCCCTGCTTCTAGCTCCATTCCAGAAGTGCAGCTTTGTATAATATTGCACAATAAGTTTATTCAGTGATTAATCTTCAGTCCAGTTAGGGTGAACTCAGGTAAAGTTCTATCAGTTGTTTTGAATGTTACACATAATTTGAGTAAACTGATGAATTTGACTCATAGCATAGGTTATATGTTTTTGGGTTTGTTAAATGTGTTGTTTAATATGTTGAGAGATGCTGAATTGTCTTAACATTTTGTTGCTGTAGAATCATCGTTTAAGGTACCTAAAAGTATAGATATGAATAATGATATGGAAAATAGAGGAAGGAATTTAATGGCTCTTAGTTTTAGTTTTAAACTATTTTCTACTTGTCAGATTAAAAAAAGCTCTTACACTATTCAATAAGTCAGCTGGCCCTGACCAATTACAACCACTTTAAAAAAAATAGCTACAGATTATATTGCTGCCCCTTTGTCATATATTTATAATGTTTCACTGAGTTTAAATTAATTACCCAAAGATATGGAAGTCTGCCTTTGTTATCCAATTTGTTAAAAGGAGGAAATCCTTCCGATATGAATAACTATTGGTCGATTTCTAAACTTTGTATTTTGTCTAAGGTTTTTGAATCTCTCATTAGTGAGCAGTTGACTTCATATCTTATGGAACATGACATTTTATCACACAATCAGCCAGGTTTTAGGAAACAACACAGCACAACCACAGCTGCAACGAGTGTTTTAAATGATAGCATAGAGGCGCTTGATAAAGGTCATTACTGTGTATTACTTTTTATTGACCTGTCCAAGGCTTTCGATACTATTGACTTAGGTATACTAAAAGTATACTAAAAACTAAACTGAAACTAATTGGATTGTCAAATGACACAATCACTTGGTTTGAAAGCCATTAAGTGGACAGGACACAATGTGTGCAAATGGAAGGCCATTCATCTGCACCATTGCAGATTATGAGGGGTGTTCCTCAGGGGTCTGTTCTGGGGCCTCCACTTTTCATTATTTACATTAATAACCTCGATGTTAATAATTAGTAATGTTAATTTTAATTTTTATGCTGATGATGCTGTGATTTATTGTACTGCACCCAAATTACATCAAGCTGTGTCCTCACTACAGAGTGCTTCTGATGTTGTGCAACAAAGGCTTTGTGGCCTAAACCTGACTTTGAACGTGACCAAAGCTAAAGCTGTGTTATTTTCGAGATCAAAGAAGCAAGTGGCAAATCAACTACCAGTCTAAACCTTACAGGGTACTATAATAGACGTAGTGACAGAATATAAATATCTCGGTTTTATGCTTAATTGATGGCTCATCTTTTAAATCTCACGTTAATCAATTAAGGACCAAATTTAAATTGAAGCTGGGGTTCTATTACAGAAATAAACCCTGCTTTTCATTTGAGGCAAAAAGAAGATTAGTTTCTGCCACATTTATGCCAGTCCTTGATTATGGAGACGTTCTGTATAAATCGGCCTCTACCAAACTTTTGTGTTCTTTGGACACTTTGTATCATGGTGCGCTTAGGTTTATATTAAATTGTAATTTTAGTACTCATCATTGTGATTTGTATAATAGAGTCGGTTGGTCGTCATTATCAACACGCAGACGTAAGCATTGGTACCTGTTTATCCATAAATCTATTTTGGGTCTACTCATATCTGGTGTCAGCAAAAGTGGGACACTTTTTGGTAAACTGTGTATTAAATACAAATAAATCTATTCTACCAACACAATTTATGCTTCAAACAAATTCTCAACGTCTCTTGTATCTCCCACTATGTTTTTTGAAAGAATATTGGTTGTTGTTTTAAACATAAAAAGATTTTTAAAATGTTAAGTACCCATTTTTCTTTTTCGGGCTTTTTCAGGTAAATTGGGACACTGTGTCTGGTAAAGTGGGACACACATTTTTATCTAGTCTGTGCTTATAAAATACAATTTCCTACAGCAGGACATTGTATAAATAATCTTGTGCAATAGAAAATCCTCAGAATTAAAAAGAATAACTATAAAAATAGACATAGGCTACTAGTGGATAGTGTGATTGATTGTGAACTCATATACATCATGTTTACTGAATTACAGAATTATAACACTTCAAGAGAAGCCTAAATTTGAAGAATTATTTAAAAATTCAATCAGAAGTACAAATTTAAACAATTAAAACACTACAAAAAAGGACAAGAACAAATAATTGAATCACTTCAACAAAAGTACAATGCACTGAGTAGTATAAATATGCCATGATTGTATATATGATGTGCCTGCTTGTGTGTGTGTACTGTGTTTGTATCTAACTGTGTGCTTAAGAGTGTGTGTGTGTGTGTGTGTGTGTGTGTGTGTACTGTGTTTGTATCTAACTGTGTGCTTAAGAGAGATAGAGAGAGAGAGAGAGAGAGAGAGAGAGAGTGTGTGTGTGTGTGTGTGTGTGTGTGTACTGTGTTTGTATCTAACTGTGTGCTTAAGTGTGTGTGTGTGTGTGTACTGTGTTTGTATCTAACTGTGTGCTTGAGAGAGAGAGAGAGAGAGAGAGAGAGAGAGTGTGTGTGTGTGTGAGAGAGAGAGAGAGAGAGAGAGAGAGAGAGAGAGAGAGAGAGAGAGAGAGAGAGAGAGAGAGAGAGAGAGAGAGAGAGAGAGAGAGAGAGAGAGAGAGAGAGAGAGAGAGAGAGAGAGAGAGAGAGAGAGAGAGAGAGAGAGAGAGAGAGAGAGAGAGAGAGAGAGAGAGAGAGAGAGAGAGAGAGAGAGAGAGAGAGAGAGAGAGAGAGAGAGAGAGAGAGAGAGAGAGAGAGAGAGAGAGAGAGAGAGAGAGAGAGAGAGAGAGAGAGAGAGAGAGAGAGAGAGAGAGAGAGAGAGAGAGAGAGAGAGAGAGAGAGAGAGAGAGAGAGAGAGAGAGAGAGAGAGAGAGAGAGAGAGAGAGAGAGAGAGAGAGAGAGAGAGAGAGAGAGAGAGAGAGAGAGAGAGAGAGAGAGAGAGAGAGAGAGAGAGAGAGAGAGAGAGAGAGAGAGAGAGAGAGAGAGAGAGAGAGAGAGAGAGAGAGAGAGAGAGAGAGAGAGAGAGAGAGAGAGAGAGAGAGAGAGAGAGAGAGAGAGAGAGAGAGAGAGAGAGAGAGAGAGAGAGAGAGAGAGAGAGAGAGAGAGAGAGAGAGAGAGAGAGAGAGAGAGAGAGAGAGAGAGAGAGAGAGAGAGAGAGAGAGAGAGAGAGAGAGAGAGAGAGAGAGAGAGAGAGAGAGAGAGAGAGAGAGAGAGAGAGAGAGAGAGAGAGAGAGAGAGAGAGAGAGAGAGAGAGAGAGAGAGAGAGAGAGAGAGAGAGAGAGAGAGAGAGAGAGAGAGAGAGAGAGAGAGAGAGAGAGAGAGAGAGAGAGAGAGAGAGAGAGAGAGAGAGAGAGAGAGAGAGAGAGAGAGAGTGTGTGTGTGTGAGTGTGTGTGTGAAACACACATGCTTTCATATTTGTGTGTTTAAGTGGTATGTGTGTAAGTGTGGGTAAGAGCAGGCATGTGTTTGTTTACAGGCACATTTTACGCACAAAAACTTAATATTCACAAATTTCTATTCTTATTTTTTCTTTCTTCTGCCTACACTTTGTGACATTTTCTGTAAAACAAAACAATTTCTCACATTGAGCAATTAATTACCTTTTAATTTATAGGATGTCCCACTTTAGCTGAATGCTACTGTCCCAATTTATCTAACATGTTCAGGTAAACTGGGACAGTAACAAAACTTAATATTTAAAAAAAAAATAGAAAGAAGAAACTTGCACATCATCGCATAAAATTGAATGATCACATGAATGCATGTCATACACATTATATTGTAGAGTGATTTACTGTTTGTATTAGAAATGAACCCTTAACAAATTTAATAGGCTTTACGTACGGCACTTTCTCAGACCTTCCAGCATTTGAGTGGTAACCACGCCCATATGATTTACATTTGACTAATCAAATGTGGATATTCAAGCTACTGTTAATACAACATTTCAAGACCACCCATTATAATCAGTCATTTTCTTTAAAGGAGCACCACACCAAAAACTTATTTGTCCCATTTATCTGATGTCCCACATCTGCTGACTTCTCCCTCTCCGTTCTCTCACCCAACTCAACGCTTCTGGAGCTTGTTCTCTGCGCTCACAGGACTTGTATAGCCTTTCGCTTCCATCTGAACGAACTGGATGTGGAAAACAAGCTTTTCGGCATACTGTTAAAGGAAGAATCAGCTTGTAAATGTTTTTAAATGGGTTTTGATACTGTGTTTTGTTTTGTTTTTGATCATGTAGTGGCAGGTCACTTCTGTGAAGGAGATTTTTAATCTCAGAAAGGTTTTACCTGGTTAAATAAAGGACAATACTATTTAGTGGACAATATATACACTTCACTTTCTAAATGAAAGTATTGCTGGGCAAACAGTGCTGATTATTCAGTGTTCATTCACAATATTCCATAATGGTTTATTACACATAAAGCTGGCCTTTAAAAACAGACATTTAAAAAGGGTTTAACTCTAACTGGTTCAGTGTTCTCTGAATTACACCTTCAGTTCTGTGAATTCTTACATTTTATCAGTTAGTATTATGCTACAAAATACACGCTACGAGAACATTGGTTTGGGATTCTTTATTTTCTTAACGTAGGCCTACTGTATGGATCTTCGCTGGTGTTTAATGTTTTAATATTGAATTCGTTGGAAAAGGAAGTTAGCCAGCGTTGTTATCCACCGCAGCACTAGGTGTCGACAGAGCAGAGCTCAAGTCTGAGTCCCGAACTCAGCTTCCGCCGCCGCTGTCCGATTCACTTCCGCGAACCGGCTCTTTTCGGACAGATCGGCTCATTGAACCGGTTCAAAAAGCCGGTTCATCGGTTCCTGGCGTCATTAAGCAATAACGTCTCTACGCATTCTAACAACTCAGTGCCATGTTGCATCAATGACAGATTCAAACAAATAATGTGCGTGCTACTTCGGCTGTGCGTCCTGCGTCATCGACCCGGAACTACAGTTCGATTCAGTTCGATTCAGTAAATCGGCTCGACCGGTCACTTCCTGAGAACCGGCTCAAATGAACGATTCGTTCAAGACCCGAACATCACTACTTCAGTGGTAGTGGTCCCGCGGTCACGGGAGTCTTGTGCTGTCAGACAGGTCACACACAGGTGGTGTGGAGGGCTGGGGGACCGAGATGAGAGGAGACCGAGCGCAGTGCATCTCTGCAGCGGCATCAGGTGCGGGGTTTGACGGGCACAGGACCTGAGAGCACAGGTACGACATCTGTTGAAGATCGCTTCATCTCACAGACGTCTCTAAGATGTCAGCTTTACATACAAACATATTAAAGACATCTTCTAACGTATTGCAGATGAGCAAACACTCTAAAAATACGTCGTCTCCGTGATGTCCAATTAACGTTACAGAAACCACAGGGTGACTTAAAGCCGGGCTGCCCAGTCCTGCTCAGCTCAGCTCAGCTCCAACCCTCATCAGGTACCACTGATTGAAGATCTTCAGGAGCACTTGACCTGGGCTCGATCTGAAGCTGGGCAGCCCTGACTTCAAATATCAACTTCACAGGGTTCCCACGCTTCTTGAAAGTACTTGAATTTCAGACATATGGAGCCTTGAATCTGGTGTTCATGAAAGAGTGGGAACCCTGACTTCATTTAAATGCTAAAAACACGGATAAACCGAGATGTCAGAACATTGAGGCTTCTAGAATCACAAAATGAATTGTGGTGAATTATTTACAATATATTAACACTCCCAATTTCTTTTAATAAAAACAAGCGGAGCCCTTTTGATTTGGACCAGTCCGCAATCATTCAGCAACCACCAAAACAACCTGGCAACACCTAGCAACCAGCATAAACCAGCATCCCAGCGTCAAAACATACCTAACCAGCATATGCTGGTTTTTTCAACAGGGTTAACACTGCTGAGCGCAGGGAAATGCCTCAGAAGAGAAGGAAACAGAAGGTGAAGTCCAGCCCGACGGAAGCCTCTGCTCCGAGTGTGGGGACGACGAGAAGCACAGACCACCAGGAGGAGAGGAGAGAAGCAGGCAGAGCGAGTCCAGCCGATCATTCACAGCCGGCTCTAGATGAAGATTCAGCCGTAAGACTGCTGCAGCAACAAAACCCATCCGAGACGGCAGGAGGACGAGAGCAGGACCACAGGAGCCTGACGCTCGTGGGATGTGTGTCACCGTCTAGAAACACAGACAGCCGTGAGTGCTTCTCCTCACCACTGAGATGAGCGTGTGTTGAACCCACAGCTTGCTTTCCAAGCCGTTGACCTCCATAGCACACGCTCCTAATCAGGCTTTCTGTGGGCTTTATAAGGCCTTAAAAGGCTAAACTCTCCCTTCCACTATGTAAGCGCTTAAATCGTAAATTCCTGAAAAAGTGAACAGAAATAAGTGAATTTATGCTTCAAAACAAGAACATCTGTCAGTGAGGAATGAGCACTTGTTTTCCCTTTGAATGAAGCCGATTGGCAGATATTTGTTCTTGATCTCTTCATTTTGATCAATTTTTCAGAAAACGACTTCTTATCTTGTTATTTTGCTTCTTAAGTAAATAGATCTTGATTTAAGAATCTTTAGACATGTGCACCGGAAAACAAGACAGAAATACTGAGGAAGAACAGCACTTTTTTTCCAGTGGGATCCAATAATTATGAATTAAAATGTAATGGAGGCCTGTTGGAAGTTGTATTTTCAAAATGTGAAGTGTTGCTAATACATTGACATTTAGAGAGCATTCCTTCAATTCATTCCTTTTCTTGAAAAAAGTCTTCGATCTAGCTGCAGAAACCCTGCTGTCAGTCATGAGCGATTCATCAGTGCCTCTGAAATTACTTTCCCATTTCTGGATAGATCTTTTTCATTTTCACTTGTTTTCGGTGAATATCTTGTTTCACTAGCAAATATATCACCTTTGGCAATAAAGTAGGTTGGAAACGTCATGTCACGTTGACTGACTTTAGGAATTCATAGGTGTTTAGTGAGGTTTAGGTTTCACGAAGTACTAAACTGAAATGTGATCTAGTTCCTAGTTTTGACTAATTCTCGTACTATTCAAGACATTTAATCAAGTAAAACTTTTAAATGGTTTTTGAGCGTGGGAATAATGTTTTTGTCCAAGACCATTTTCAAAAGCTCTGTGATCTTTTTCTTTTCAGGGTTGAAGTTATTAGCAGAGAAGCGGAAAACGAGTCCATACTTCAGTGGAAGGGATGACGGTATGAGACGGGTTTTATGGAGTGATACTGTGAACTAACCAGGCGTGATGTGACGAAAGCTGTGTTTTATAGATACTCAAAACATGCAATTTTTTTTGTGAAATTGAACAAACAGACTGCTGTGACCATGAGTTGGTCTTAAGCAGGTATAATAATTTTAATTTTCAAATTTCATCAGTTGCTTAGTTTGTATTTCTGCAGCGTCGCACTCGTACAGTGACCCAAAATCCTGCTCTGCATAAGTGTAAAAACCTGAATATGTTCTGACCATAGACTGTATAAAAACATGGACGTAGTGTCCGTGACGTCGCCCGTAGGTTTCCGAAGAGTGTTTTTGAAGCTCTAAAGTGGGCGGAGCCAGCCGTCGCCATCTTGGCAGCACAAAACCGTGCGTCACTCCCGGATAATCGAAAATGGGCAAAAGGGCGGGAGCTGGTTGCTGAAGCCACGCCCACCTAGCTCGACGGTGGTGACAGCAGCGCAATCCACCTGTCACTCAAGTGGCTACACCCTTAATTATGCAGAACTTTAAGGCTTAATATAATTTAAACGGATGAGTTATAAAAAAAATTCACCGCCCTCACAGTTGTCATGAAGGGCAAAATTAGTTATATAGACGTAAAAAATTTTTTGTACCAGGCTGTAAACGTGTTTTTTTTCTGCTGTAAAGTTGGGCATTTTAACATGGGGAGTCTATGGGACTGACTCCCTTTTGCAGCCAGCCTCTAGCAGCCAGTTGATGAATTACAGTTTAAGTCACTTCCGTGTTGGCTTCACGAGAGAGAGCGGGAGGTTGCCGCTTGGTTCTGACTGGCTGTGTTCGTAACACATCCTCCAGCGCTTTAACTCTAGGTGCGGACACACGGTTTGTTATCACAGCGTGTCTGGTTAGGTGAGCACATCTCTACCACTCGATGGCGCTGAGTTTAAAAGCTTTCCTCCTCAGCTCTGAGTCCCCCAAAGCGCAAGGCCTTCCGGAAGTGGACTCCGCCGCGCTCACCCTACAATCTGGTGCAGGAGACGCTGTTTCACGAGCCCTGGAAGCTCCTGGTGGCCACAATCTTCCTCAACCGGACCAGCGGTACGCCAGCACATCTGTAACATCTGTACTGTCACAGAAGAGTTGTGATGTGCTGGTCTTTGTTTCCTCACACGTATGAGCAGGTAAGATGGCGATCCCTGCGCTGTGGGAGTTTTTCCAGCGCTATCCGAGCGCAGAGGTGACGCGAGCGAGTGACTGGAGGCTGCTGGCTCTCCTGCTGCAGCCGCTGGGTCTCAGCACGCTCCGCGCCAAAACACTCATCCGCTTCTCCGGTGCGTGCCACTAATACAGCAGATTTCATCAAGGATGTTTTTAAAGGGATAGTTCACCCAAAAATGAATAATTTAGTTATTTACTCACCCTCTTCAGTAGAACAGTAAAGAAGATTTTTAGCTGAAAACGTGGTGATTGATATAATGGTGGGTGCCATCGCTTTGGGAGTCAAAAAATCTAGTACAGAAAACACGAACTGAATGCCTGCAGCTCCTGGCGATATATTGAGGTCTTATGAAGTAAATAACAACAGTGTGAGCTCACCTTCACGCGTATGTCATCATGCGACTGAGGCTCTGGATTACAGGTAATAATGGTGTAAATAATGTTCGGTTTCTTGCACAGACTGATTGTTTCACTTCATAAGACCTCAATATATCGTCGGTCAATATAGCCACGGTGGTTCATTTTGTGCTGCCTGTACCTGCTTTTTTGACTCTAAGTTACAGCACCCATTTACTTGCATTTTCTGAAACACCAAAAACCATACTTTCAGCTAAAAATGATCTTAACGACTGTAGTGCTTTCATGTAGTGGTAGACGATACATATCACAGTCACTATATCTATATATATCTATATTCTGAATGATTATACTGCTGATATAAAATTAGTTGAGATTGTTATTCGGTGCAGTGGACGTTTCATGATGCTGTGACATTATCTTGTTCGTCAGATGAGTATCTGAGTAAATCGTGGCGGTATCCCATCGAGCTCCATGGCATTGGCAAATACGGCAACGATTCATACCGTATCTTCTGCGTGGAGGAGTGGAGAGAGGTACAAACACTACAGGACAACACATGAGCAGCGACAGTCACATGCAGCGGGTTGATGTGTGTGTGTGTGTGTGTGTGTGTCCTGCAGGTCACTCCAGGCGACCACAAGCTCAACGACTATCACGCCTGGCTCTGGAAAAACCAGGAGCAATTAGGAATCTGATTTTAGTTGCACTCCAGGATGTTTTAATAAATCATGTCTGCAGTAGCGAATGTGAATGTGTACCAGTGAACTCATCAGAGATCAGCTGCTGTCTGTCTCCTGAAAGCATGAGATGTTCTAAATGTTTCATCATGTTTGTTCATCAGTTCTAGAAAACATGTTTAAGTTGTGTAAAAATAAATTAACTTTTTATCTTTTGTACATGCTTTGGATTTGTTTTAAAAAGGATTGAGAGCTTTTAAAGTCCGTGTGAAATGACACTGATTTGAGAAACCCTTTTGTAATATTTTCTGAGAATTTAATACATAAATGAGCAACACAGGTCAATTAAATGGGTTTTTAATGAAATCATAATGTCCTCCATGCTACCAACTCAAACGTAATTCACATTAAGGCTGGCAGAAATCATGCCCACGTCTCAACTGTCTGTCGTTGTAGGGCATATTCACATTGGACAAATAATATGACAAACAAAATAAATAGAAGCCATGATGACACATTTACGCATTTTCATCTAAAGCAGAAGGTAAAGCATGCAGACACGATGTGATCGATGCATTAAAGCCACCTGTGCTGAAACTAAAAACATCTGTCAAAGAAATGAATGGAAGGCCACATGTGTCGAATCTGCAGGTAAAGTGCACTCAGTTAAACGGTAAATCACATTCATTACTGTATTCTACCGGTTGCATATTTAAAACAGGGTCCCCACAGCCAGCGAAAACCTGGAAAAATTAGCTAGTTTTAAAATGGTGGTTTCCAGTGTATTCCTGGTCATGATATAGAATACAATCTTATAAATCATGGAAATCTCTATAACCAATATACATTTTCTAGATGTGCTCGGTAGACACTGCCGGGAGATAGATAGAGTCTGCTGAATGAGCTCACAAACTGGTCTAAATCAAAAAGACTAATATAAAAAGAAACCCTTATCTAGTGTTAATGCATTGATCAAAGAGTGTGGGAACCCTGTTGAAGTTGATTTGCCATACATATTCAAGCCACTACTTTCACACACATACACAGTCCTGGTTTGAGAGACGTCTTCTGTGACAGCGCTGCATTCATGCATTTGGGAATGTTGCCATGTGAGAGCGTTTCAAACAACATGACTTTTGGAGCGTCCTTTCGGTCACTTCCGAAATCTTTAATAAATTGTTTTATGCATTGGGACAGATTTTAAAAATAAACACAGTATCCATGTATAAATGTGCATAAATGCCAATATGTCCATGCCAGTATGTACAGTACCTCTGCCTGAATGGGTTGCATACAGTATGTCTCTTGGGGTTTGGCCAAACATGTCCATTACTAACTGTGAGTCTCATAAATACAGCAGCAGCTGAACTGTTGAAAATGAGCCAATCATCATCATCATTATCCACAGCGCTTTAAACAGCACTGCCACTCCGGCCCACAGTGCTAAACATCCCTGATTGACATGCATTTCCAGAGCCACGGCGCTCACCAGACCCAGAGCTTCATGTTTCAGTGGCATCACCCTGTTGGAGTCCATCAGCGTCCGGTTCATTAGCGTCCTTTAAGAATGCCATCCAGCACGCGGTCACCCTTCTCCGAGAGCCAGTATCCTGCCATGGCAGCCACTCCTCCGATGAAGATGGCCGTGAAGACCATGTCTCCTTTGGCGGCTAGAGTAGCGAGAGCGCAGATCACCACGCCGAAGAACATCTGCTGGAGTACGAGCACCTCATCATCCGTCATGTCATCAAACAAAGCCTTCTCTGGACCCGCTGTGAGGACACAAACTGAGGATGTTACACAGCATGTCTTTCTGGGTGAACACACAGTAGAACAGTTTCTGAGACTGTGGCGGCATCGAAATGGGCATAAATCACCCTATTTAGTAAGGAAAATCAAGAGCTTCCTTCAAGTACTCTCAGTCAAAATATAATGGACAATTTCATACTCGTTCCTCTCTTTTTCACTTCCTGACTGACACAGGAACACAGGCGTTTTAGCAGTGCTAAATGAAGAGCACAGAATGTGCATCAGGTGTGTAACTGATGCTTTACCCGTGTATGATGACATTCCTGTACTGGCAGAGTCACACGCTGATGACAGATGGGGCTTTGTCATGCAAACCTTTTGAACTGGCTACATGAGTAGTTTTAGTACACTAAATGAGTACCAACTAACCTACATAGTCAACATTCACACTGATGATCAATGGGTCAATGATGGCATGCTTAAAAAATGCAGTTGACTTCACTTTTTGAATTTAAATTCATTTGTGTGATGCATACAGGCAAAATGTCAAGGTGATACAAATGTCCTGACATCATACAAAATGATCAAAGATCATATCAGAATGTGGTTTGCCATAATCACTTCACTCTTTCTTCAAACTGCTTGACATTTGTAATATATAAAAACGTTTGCCAAATCAAAGTCACGTGATTCACCCTACATGCAAAGAAAAACCCATGTGACCGTTTGTCAAGGTCAGTCATTTGATTTGAATACAAGCCAATGTTAATTCAGTTCAACCTTAATGACATTTATGAATTGTAATGTTAGTTCACCCAAAACATTGTCATAATTTACTCACCCTTAAGTCATTCCAAACTATAAAATAAGATACTTTTAGAAATGTCATTTTTGTCCATACAGTGGAAGTTAATGGGTGTCAGTGTTCATTATTTAAAATATCTTCTTTTATTTTCCTGAAAAGAAAGTCATCCAGGTTTGATCCAGCTATTTCAACTATTGAAGAACAAGGAATTCGATGCCTGGGAAAGTACTATGACTACCCTCTTGAAGGATAGCACCAATCTTAAGGATACCATAGCTCAACTGACCATTTGGCTCAAGGAAACTGACAACAGCCAGCTGCTTGGGAGGTTTAAGGTACAATTCTTCCAGTATGGCGTCATAACCAGGAAACATTGGCCATTCCTGCTATACGACTTCCCCTTGACTCAGGTGGAAGCGATGGATAGCTGGGTGTTCAGTCAATCTGTACAGCAAGACCTCCAAAGAATTCAAAGCCACCAAGGCCAGGGCAGTCAGCACACTGCTACTGTCTAAGGATGAGAAAGTACAACATGACAACCAACCTGTCAAGTGTGGCAGAAAGCGGAAGCCACGGGAGGCAGTGAGGGAAACGGAATCGTACTGGAAACATCAGGAAATCATCAGCATGGTCTGCCAAGGACGACTGGGAAACTGAAAAACCAAGAGTTGGAGTAAGGCTGATGCCAAAGGTAAGAGGACACTTGTGGTGCAGAGGGCTGCAGAAGAAGGCCGGCTTCTAAGAGCAGTTTGGTTCGCCTATCAAGGCCAGTGGATGCAGTGGGATCAGGTACTCGAGCGTTCGCTGTCCTGGAAGGAACTCTGAAGTACTGCCCAGGGCAAATTGACCTTCCACTTGTGTGCTGTAGCTTACCTATTACCAACTCCAAACAACCTAAATATCTGGAGCAAAGACAAGGATCCATCCTGCAAGCAGTGTGGAGCAGCCCTGTGCACCCTGAACCGCATTTTAACAGGAAGTCCCAAGGCACTGGGGGAAGGCCACTACAGATGGAGACATGACAAGGTTGCTGAAATCGCCAAGTGGACAGACTTCTAGAGGGTCAAAGCAAATCAATATCAGGCACCACGGCCCAGAGGAGTCAGTTTCCTAAGGCAAGGACACAAGGTTCCCAAGTTAAGAAGAAGTGACAGTACCCCACCCTCTATTTTGTATCAAGCTTCTGACGGGGAGATGCAAGTTGACCCCAAAAAGAAGCTTGTCTTCCCAGAAGAAGTGGCCGTGACCACACTTCGACCAGACATGGTTCTTCTGTCCAGGAGCACAAAAACCATCTTGGTAGTTGAGCTCCCTGCGCCCCAGGAGGACAGGCTAGCCATCAGCTGAAGAAGGCTAAGTATCATGATCTGATTGACGAGGCTTCTACTAAAGGATGGCATGCAGCCTTGTTCCCTATTGAAGCTGGTTCCCGCGGCTTCCCAGCTACATCTGTGCGCTACTTCTTACAGTAGCTTGGGGTGGAAGCTAAACGACTGAGGAAGGCCACCGGGAGATAGCAGCGGCAGCAGAGACTATCTCAAGGTGGTTGTGGTTAATGAGCGATCACAGTTGGACCCCTTCTGCAGGTGAAGTCTGATCTGGTATATATATATATATATATATATATATATATATTTATCTCACCTTGAAATGACACGAGAGTAAATGATGACAGACTGATCATTTTTAACTACTGATTTAATATTACTATCCATCAGAACATTGTGTTGGTGCTGATGGAAATGCAATGATTTGTGACATTGAAAATAGTTAATCAAACTAGTTCATGCTTTGTTCAGCTCATTTTGTCATACTCTTAGTTTGAAGCGTTGGGCTTGAGCATGTGTTTACTCACTCGGTGGCAGATTCTCCACACAAATGCGGTCCCGTCGAATGAATCCCTCCGCACACTCGCAGCGGAACGAGCCCTCCTCATTTATACAAGCTTCATTGAGTCCAGGACAGGCGATTGCTCTCTCTGCACACTCATCGATGTCTGAGAAAGACAGAGAGATACATTTGATGCTTGTGATTCGGATGGCTAAAATAAGGTTCATAGAAGCTGTCCAGAAATGGTCCATAAACACACACTTACCTAGACACTTTGCTCCAGTGAGTCTGAAACCACGAGCACATTTCTTACAGCGAGCAGGTCCGCTTCCCATGCAGCCCACACACGCCTGATCACAACCTACACACAGCTTTATGAGTGCACACTCAAACACATAGCATGCATTCGTGAGCATTAGCGTGAGACTGACCTCTGCATTCATAAGAGCTATCTGTGTTGAAGCAGTATGTGTTGGATGGACAACGAGCTAATTCAGTGCCGCATTCATCCACATCTGCAGTAAACACACACACAGAGATAAAGAGCTTTAGTACACTGCTGATGGAAGGCAGCATACATGTCTTGCTGCAGTTGAGAATAATTATAATCTAGCAAATGGTGTCATTATTTGCTCACCATAATGCTGTTTGAAATCATGAATTTCTTCTGTGGGACACAAAAAACAAAAAAAACAACGACAGTTCATAGTGACCACGTCTGATCAGCTCCCAACAGTACATTTACAGTTCACAGCATTTACTGTGAGTCGCACTGAAAACACCGGATCATGAGCTGCTCAGGTGTAAATGAACCCAGTGCCGCTCTTCACACTGAGACACACAGCGCATTTGCGATTTGGTAATCGCACTAAGCCATGTTATGATTTCAGTTTTATTCTGATTAGGTCTGCCTCCCTAATAGTTGACTAAACATTAGTCAATGAGAAGCGGCTTAGTCGGCCAAAATTTTATTAGTCACTTAATCGCACAAAAAAAAACTGTCTGTGTCCGTGACGGACAGATCGTTAATGGCTGGTCCTTGAGGTAATTACAGTATATCAGACAGGAAATGCAAACGTTCAGATATCATTGAGCTGCCTCAAATTCAGTGGGTTTAGAAAATAATAAGCCCCCTTTAAAATAATCACATTGTGTTGCTTTGCAGCCTGAAATGAAGACGGACACAGTTTTTGTTTTATCCAGCTGTATTTACTCAGTGCAACTTAAAATGTCCAAGTGAAAGATAAAACACCAACATGTAAGAAAAAAAAAAAAACTGAATCACTGAGTTGGAAAAAGATCACCCCTCAGGTGTAGCTCATCACCTTCTCAGTGGCACACAAAGCCATTAAATAATTCAGTTTTAGTCTCATCTGCCTCAGATTCTTCAAGGTGTGTTTTGGCAAAGCTCAGTCTGACTGCGTGTGGCCTTTCTTGAGGAGTGGCTTTTTTCTTGCATCCCTCCCACACAAGCCACATTGGTGGAGGATTAGTGATATTATTGTCACATGCACACAATGACTACTCTTTGTCATAAACTCCTGCAGTTGCTGTAGCTCTTGGTCGCGTCTCTGATCAGTTTCCTCCTGCTCGTTCTTGGAGTGACGATCTGATCCAGGGAGGGTCTGTGTTGGACCAAATACCTTCCACTTCTTCATAATAGACTTCACTGTTCCTCTAGGCATTGATAAAGCCTTTGAAATGTTTCTGTCTCCATCTCCTGACTTGTGTCTGTCCACAACTTTATCCCAGAGATCTTTTGACAGTGTCTTACCAAGTCAAATGGCTTTGTGTGCCATTGAGAAAGTGATGAGCTACACCTGATTGAGTTTACAAGCCATTTTTAGGAGAGGGGTGATCTTTTTTCCAACTCAGTGATTCTGTTTTTGTTTTTTTTTTCTTCTGACATGTTGGTGTTTTATCTTTCACTTGGACGTTTTAAGTTGCACTGAGTAAATACAGCTGGATTAAACAAAAATTCAAATGGTATGTTAACTAGATAAATGTGCGCTATTAGGCACATATCCAATTGTTTGTGCTAATAACAGTGGAAATAACTTAAAATACACCGTAATTTTTGCTTATGCAGATAAGAATAATACATCATACGAAACTGTAAAGGTTCTACTTTTATTTGCATGCACTCACAATATCAACAAAACGTTGTGCTTTTGTAAAATAAAGAAAACAAACAGACTGCGCTTTCTGCCGTCTCGGTCTCTGTGAACTGGAACACGTCACAAAAATTAGCATCCACTGCACTTGCGGAGACGGCGAGTCAGCAACGTTAACTTCATATTTCCAGCCGACTCTGACTCAGAAATCACTAGTTTATTAACAAATAATGAAATATTTTTAAGTAATTAAATTAAAATAAACATGTGTCAACTAATGGCTTAAATGAATGAAAAATCTTTAGTCGGGGCAGCCCTATAATTCTGATCAATCATGCAGTCCTTCATAATAGTTCTATGTGAAGCCTGACAGCCTCTGGTCACTGTGTGCTTGTGTCGTAAATCTCCATTTGTGTTCCACACAGAAGCTTGTATGGGTTTGGAACAACATAAATGTGAATCATTAACTAAAGATGTTTCAACGATTGCTCTAAATCAGTTTGAGTAGGAAAAACCCAGGAGACGCCAGGTTTTACAAATATGACTTTTGTTCAAACCACTTTCCAAATGAGTTTGTATTTCTGTAGAAGTGCTTTTGAACTCACCTACACACTTATTGCTGTGAAGGATCCATCCAGGCTTACAGTCCAGACACTTGTTGTCCTGTGGACCTGTGCACTTTTTACAGGAATGATGGCAAGCTGCATAAAACAGACAGACATTTGAACAGTCAATATCCTCATATGAGAATGATGTTCACTGAGCAGGTCAACTGTGGTTCAGCGCTTGATAACATTTACGACATTCATTTCTTTCTTCGAATCCATTTCATCGCTGCAGCAGATTTTTAGCACTGATTCTTCTGCAACAACTCTCTTTCTATGCATTTGTTTATTTGCGCAATGCTTCTTTAAACTTGCATTTCAGTTGAATATGAGTCTCGTTCTAGTCAAAGTGGAATAAAGTTATGGAATAAAATATGCAACATATGTTATATACACATCACACATTCACACTAGTGATGAGATGTTTCTGCATCGTGTTTCCCGTAGGCTCCTGAGAATGGTTACCTGAGCAGGGTGGCTGTGTGTGGTTGGAGCTCTTTTCTCTGTAGTATCCGTGGGCACAGTCCTGACACAGGACCCCAGAGTATCCCGGGTCACAAACACAGTCTCCGTCTCCCAGACGTGTGCCTTCACCCTCACAGCGGCCCAGACCTCCACACACTCCTCCAGGACCTGACGGACACTCTGCGCACACACAGACATAAGCACAGAAACAGCTTCTCTGCTGATATCTGTGTGTGAAATCCATACAGGCACATGCAAGGATGAACTGGAACCCAGCTTTTAAAGGATAGTTCACCCAAAAATGAAAATTTAATTTAATTTCATCCAACAGCCACTGAACTGAGAAAACAGTTCGACTCGGACTGAAGACAGATGAGCTGCTGATATGCTCATGCGTGAACCAAACACATTTGAATGAACGTTTTTATGGTTTCTCATGGTTTATGTAAAAAGGTGAGTTGATTAAGACAAGTTTATTCACTTTATATGCTTTAGACATGTAAAACATGCATGTGTCACATCATTACTGGGTGCTTTAATAATATAATTGCGTATCCGTGATATCATTGTGTGATAATGTAAACTAACTAGTGAAATGAACCAGTTCATTTGAAACAAACTATCAGAAAGAACCAGTTCGTATAAAAGAATCAGATTTCCCAGTTGTTTGAGGCTCTGGATTACAGGTAATAATGTTGAAAATAATGTTCTGTTTCTTCATAAGACCTCAATATATCATCAGGAGTTAATTTTGTGTTGCCTGATGTGCTTTTTTAGACTCTCAAAATGCCAGTACCCACTGTCTTGTATTTTATGAATCACCAAGGACCACAGTTTCAGCTAAAAATCCTCATTACTGTTCTACTAAAGAAAAAATAGTCACCTACATCTTGGATGGCCTGAGGGCTAATAAATTAAGAGCTAATTTTCATCCCTACAAGAGTCAACATAACCAATCCATTGCTTCTGTAGAAAATATGGAAGAGCTGATCAGCCAATTTGGTGTATCTGAGCAAATATGACATTATTTGAGTAGTTGTAAGGCAGAGATACTCAAATTACCTAGCTTGGGGGCCAATATTACAAAACGATGTTTGACCAGAGATCGGTGAATAAAATTACATGGTAATAGTAATAAATATGATTTTCTTTTGGTTTTAGAATGTGCAAAATCTCAAATCTCAGCTACGACTTCACAACCAAATCTGACTGTCCTGTCCACTTTGACAAGCTTCAACCAACATTATCCATTACTAGATCAGTAATGTGTCAAACACATTAGCTAAACGCTGCTCCACATTAGGCTTCGTGTCGTACAGCTGTGTGTGCATGTGTGTGTGTGTGTGTGTGTGAGTGTGTGTGTGGGGGTGTGAGTGTGAGTGTGTGTGTTTTCATTTTTGGGTGAACTATCCCTACAAGAGTCAACATAACCAATCCATTGCTTCTGTAGAAAATATGGAAGAGCTGATCAGCCAATTTGGTGTATCTGAGCAAATATGACATTATTTGAGTAGTTGTAAGGCAGAGATACTCAAATTACCTAGCTTGGGGGCCAATATTACAAAACGATGTTTGACCAGAGATCGGTGAATAAAATTACATGGTAATAGTAATAAATATGATTTTCTTTTGGTTTTAGAATGTGCAAAATCTCAAATCTCAGCTACGACTTCACAACCAAATCTGACTGTCCTGTCCACTTTGACAAGCTTCAACCAACATTATCCATTACTAGATCAGTAATGTGTCAAACACATTAGCTAAACGCTGCTCCACATTAGGCTTCGTGTCGTACAGCTGTGTGTGCATGTGTGTGTGTGTGTGTGTGTGAGTGTGTGTGTGAGTGAGTGCAGTTCCCTTGAGATAATAGAAACCGCCGCGCCTGTATCGACTTCCATCTCAATTGGCAATCCCTCAATTTTTGGTTGCACCTTTATTACAGATGACATTGAATCATTTTCGCTTTTCATGATGTTCACTCCTGGAGGATTGTGCAGTGTCGCTGTCATTTTGTGTAGTGCCAGTTCGGCATCTGTGTCCGAATTTGTTTCTTCATCACTCTTTTCCATATTAGCATCCACTCTGTGAATTGGTCTTTTGTTCCTCTGTCCCTTTCTTCTTACACCTTTTCCTTTTTCCGTAGTTCTAGGTATTTTCTCCTCTGTCTTTTTACTTTTACACATCCGTGCAACGTGACCTTTCTTTCCACAATTGTGACACAGTTGATCTTTGTAAAAACAATCATTCTGGATATGGTTGGTTTTTCCACATCTGAAACATTTCTCTTTGGCCAATTCCGATGACAACGACATGGCATTTACTTTCAATGAATTGCTCAGATGCTGTGATTTTCTAGATACAGCCTCCATTGACATTGCTATATCCACAGCTTTTTGATATGTGAGCGTCGATTCGGTCAATAGCTTCCTCTGTATTGACTCGCTAGAGGTATTATAACATCAACTCAAATACATTACAGCTAGCATGTTTTATCACGATTAACATGTTGCTAACATGCATTTAGAATTATTAGCATGGTGTTAGCATGTTGCTTGCATGATTAGCGTGTTGCTAACATGTATTTAGAATGATTAGCATGTTGTTAACGTGTTGCTAGCATGATTAACATGTTGCTAACATGATTTAGCATGTTGTCCTAGGATAGTCATTATGCTTTGCTGATGATAGACAGCTTAAACACTCTATAAGTCTTACTGTACAAAAGTTTTGACCCCCTCGATGAAAGTCTATGGGACTTTTCATAGTTTTGATTGTCTGTTTACTGAAAATCATAAGTCCAATGAGTTAGAAAAGATATAGCAGGGGTGGTGAACTCCGGTCCTGGAGAGCCGCAGCCCTGCAGAGTTCAGCTCCAACCCTAATTAAAACTCACCTGCCTAGTAACCGTTCAGACCTTGATTATCTTGTGCGGCTCTCCAGGACCGACGTTCACCACCCCTGGAATAGACTTTTAATGGAGGGAAAGAAATCGGCTCAGATTTCACTAAAAATATCTTCATTTGTGTTCCAGAGATGAATGAAAGTCGTATGGGTTTGGAACAAGTAAAAGAGGGAGAGTAAATGATCACAGATTATTCATATTTGGGTGAACTATCCCTTTAAGAAACATCAGTGCTCTTCTAAATGTGACACACTGACACAATGAAGAAACACAAAAACAACAAACTCACCTGAACTTACATTATAATATTAAAATATATTCTGCCTGTAGCTTCCTAGTAACCGTTCAGACCTTGATTAGCTTGTTCAGGTGTGTTTGATTAGGGTTGAAGCAAACCTCTGCAGGGCCGCGGCTCTCCAGGACCGACGTTCGCCACCCCTGAGATATAGCAACCCAAGTCAGACTAGTCTGAACGTCTGACCCGAGTTTGATGGTTGTAGCTTGAAAAATCTCGTCGGAGATACAGTCCAAATTTAGTCTCAGAAGAAGAAGCTTAAATAGCACTTTCGCAAGCCAACCTAATGACTGACAAAAGAAGAAGACAGGCACCTGTGAAACCACCATGTCTCCACCTGGTCCTCTATCTGCTCCAGCAGCCTGTTGCAGTCAAAGTCAGGCTTGTCACATGCGGCCTCTACGATCTCTAACAGACGCGTTTCACTGCAAACACACACACACACACACACACACACACACACACACACAGCCTGTGAAACAAAGATCATACACCAGGATGACAGTCCTCTGCTCTGAAATAACACTGCGAGTTGGATCAGTGAAGATGTTTACAAGGGTGGCCCTTATTGTTGGACTTTTGAAATCTTCTGCTCTCACCGGTCCAGCCAACTGCCCTTCATGAGAAATGGAAACAAACCAAATTTCCCTGAGATTGGACTAAGTTTGGGGTGTGCTTAACAAAACTGAAATTGTTCCAATGACCATAACAACACGTAACTTATAATTATACAAGACCATTACTAAACTGTGAAAACGAGAGCACAGAACAGTGTTGTTAGACCGGCATGTAGCACCGTTGCTCTTCAGCCGTCCCGAGTTCGAGTCCCGGCTCGCAGACCTTTACTATACTGGTGAGGAAAGTGAACTTGGAACAAAACTGAGATCTGATCTAGATATTTATGATGATCCGACAAGTCCCTCAACCACAGTACTCTTGCGGGATCTGGAAACAGATTTCGGTGCTCTCTGACAATCTGCATAATGAGCTGCATTTGTTCTTCAGTCTTCAGGAGTCCGTTGTACTCTTGGATAAGCACAACACCTCTTTCTTGCAGTTGCATTGTTTGCAAGGGTACCAGGATCCTCATTTAGGAAATCCTGACGGAGATGAAGAATAACGAAGAAGTTCATTGTCGTGACATGTTACCAAGTGTGGTGTCCCATACTCAGAATTTGTGCTCTGCATTTAACCCATCCAAGTCCACACACACACAGAGCAGTGAGTAGTGAACACACACACACACACACACACACACACACACCCGGAGCAGTGGCAGAAACAAAGGGGCAGTTGTGGCCTAATGGTTAGAGAGTCATCTGATATCGAAACAGTCAAAAGTTTATCAGTGAACAAAACCTTTGCTAATATCACCAATCACATCTTGAAGTACCTGTTGATTTAAAAATTACATTTTTTGAGCATACCCTAAATGACAAATAATCTGGATGGTATTTTGCATACACTACCCACTTCTAGTGGAGAAAGAAATGAGGGGGTGAGAGGTTAACATGTCCAATTAAAAAAAGTATCCCCCAATAAGGGCCACCCTAATGTTTACCTGCGTACATACACTACCCACTTCTAGTGGAGAAAGAAATGAGGGGGTGAGAGGTTAACATGTCCAATTAAAAAAAGTATACCCCAATAAGGGCCACCCTAATGTTTACCTGCGTACATAATTCGCCAGCTTCTCCTCTTCCCAAGTTGTGTTCCCTCCTCCAAAGTTCTTATTGGCTGTTCGCTCCAAACCCTAATGAAAGAAGCACCATCAACGGAACTGAACTGAACAACGTTCCTGTCAACATATAAGACCTTCACACTGGGTTTAGAGAATGATGCATAGATTATTATACTGGTGCTCAAGCAGGCCGGCCAAACATTCACAATATATCTGCAAAGATTTCACTGGTGAAACTGAACAAGACTGTGATTTTGATGATTACAATAGTTTCACAATTATTCTGTCTTAGGAACCGCAAATGTGATGGTTTTCTGTTATTTGTAAGACTTTTATATTAAAATGTTATATTAAAATATTTTTTGGATATTGTTGTTTATTTCTATGTTTTGTTATGCTCAGAGGCGGACAGTAACTAAGTACATTTACTCGAGTATTGTACTTAAGTACACTTTTTGAGTATCTGTACTTTACTCGAGTATTATTTTTTCTGGGAACTTATAACTTTAACACCTGGCAAAACCTAGCTGTAAAACCTAGCTCCACACTCTGTTTTGATCTTGTAGTAGTCTCTAGCCCTTACGCTCAACACAAGTTTGCCAAAATGTTGCAGATGCTCAGACTAACTGCCCAGAATGCAGACCAAAGAGGACTGGCCAGGCGTTGTGAGGAACACCCCCTACCCAGGGTTGACGACCACCTACTGAGCCGAAAGCAACTGGACACAGAGGGAAGAGTACCACAGACTCATGACTCAAGCGAGAGTTATGGCTACAAAGAGCTCACCAAGATCATCATCTGCCTGGCCCACAACCTTATGGATCTGAAACAGGAGGTAAATGATCCCAAGCAACAGATCACGGCGGTATCCCACAAGGACCCCAGCAGAATGGAGTTACAGGAGGAAATCAACAGACTTCAAAAGGCTCTGACAGCTGCTGAACAGCGAAAGCACCTGGAAAAGGTAGCCAGAAAGGACCTGGAAAGGAAACTTTCCCACACAAAATTACTATTAAAGCAGCAAATTCTGAGCTCTTAGACAAAGTTGCCAGAACTGAGACTCTGATCCAGCAGCTGAACAACACTCAAGACAAACTTATTAAATTTGAGATTTAATGAAATCAATTTTTTTTTATTTACTTTCCCTTTTAATTTCCAACAGCTATTAGGACCCCTTTTGTTTGTTTTGTTTTACTTTTACCTTTATTTTTAGCAACATCATATGACCCCTTTAACATACGCATGCTTTCACTTGTTATCTTGACATATGAAGTCAGGGGTCTACCATTTTCAACCAATGAATTTCCATGCTGTTTACAATAGTTTATGATTACTGGAAAAGGATTTTTAAAAGCCATTCTACAGAGAAATTTCTTGCTGAGAAAAGTAGATATTCTAGAAAAGTATATATTTCCTATATCAAAAAGCATGTTTTTTATTTATTCATTTCAGATTTTATTAATTTCCGTGACTTCCCCATCCCTACTATTTACCATTTTAAAATTTCCTGACATTGCCCAATGATTCATGACTGTGGGACTCCTGTGTGACCTATGAAATCATGTGATATGAAACATTGTGCTTGACTTTTCAATTTCACTGTTATGCTGATAATATAACTTATACAAATAAAAAATGGTATGAAGATATACATTTAAAAAAAAAAGAAGAAGAAGCAAAACAGAAACATTTTCAGTAGTGGTCTCAGACTATAGCAGGACCTGTGATAGATAAATAAATATGACATGAAAGAGCCATATGGTGTGTTGTGGTTATGATCTTATGTTTGAGTCTCAAAAGCATCCTTAGACTGACTGAAGCTCTTACGGCACATAATCCCAGTGTGAGCTGCAACATCAGTTCCTCTTCCTGTCTGATGTTTGTTTGGGGCTAATCTGATCTGGGCTCTTCCTTCAGTGGAGTGATGCTGGTGCTGGTGCTGGTGCTGCTGAATGTAGGCCAGATCAGAGATGCACAACAGCGTCTGCAGAGCCCGAATGACTGAATGCCTGCTGGAGTTCCTATATCCATGCAACACTGCAGCTCTAGTCTGCAAATAAACGATGTCGTTCGTTGCATTGCTCATGTACACTAGATTCATTCAATTGCAACAGTGTTTCTACGGCGATGGCTGCGACGCGACACTACATCGAAACAAACGCTGTTACATTTACAGGCTTTTATTTGAATAGCACGTATGCCGAAGCGTTCTGTTCCGTATACTCACTTTATAAGATTATGTTTGGTGGTAAACAGCCTCCAAATCCTTTCCGTCTCGGAGGTGCGTTCTCAGGAGGAGCAGTTATAACATCTCCAGCACCGCTCGCTCTTCTACTAGTGGCTCATTCTGTACGAGCTGTCCTGCGGCTGATCGCTTAAGTCCCGCCTCCTCGTGTAAACAGCCAATCCTTATCAAAGAACGATTCTGATGCGCCAATCACAGACCGCTATGTGCCAAAATGAAAGTTGTGGATCATGAATCGTCATCGCCCTGCCCATCTTATTTAACCTGATGGCGAGACGTTATATATATTTATATATATATATATATATATTTATATGAATGTATGTTTTTTTTTTTTTTACACATGCAGACTGACATGCCATTTAATTAAAAAAAATCTCTAGTTGTTGAACATTATTATACAAATAAACCAATAGGGGAGACTGGGGCTAGTTGTCACACTTTTTACTGTATAGGCATACAACTTGAAGCCACAAACATTTTTCAAAAATATTGAAAAAAGTCAAATCATTCATGCAACCCGACACCTGACTCAAAAGCTTACGGTTACATCGATATGAGAGATATAGCTTATTACCTTCTGTGTTACAGCCTTTGTGCCTCCTCTATACTCCATATGGCACGGCAGTTTAATTGTGCATTAGTCAGAGGAATAAAGTGACTTCTCTCACAATTTTGACCTTCTCTTACATTTGTCTTTGGAGTTCTGTCATGTTGTGTGTGTCTTCATGTTTTCAAGAGGGAGTCCAGCTGGTCTAGTTGTGGTTCCTTATGTAAAACAAGCTCTGGTCCATCCTGCAGACTCTATTCTGAGCTTGAGATAAGGCATACATTTACATAGCATATATACATTTTTACATCAGTGTCAGACTGAGTTCATTCAGACCTGGGCAGTTTCTGAAATCGCCCCATAAACTGCAGTTCTGATCAGTAAATGTTCTGCAGAATCTATTTTAGATGAACCCGCCACCTAAACACCAGTCATCATGTGGGTCACACAGTGTCTAAAGGTGCGGTCACATTAGATTGCATGGGTGAAAAAGCTCCAGTCTATTATCAGTAGTGATTTATAAAGCACAGCTCACACAGAAGTCACTTTCAAACCAAGCTGCTTTATGTTGGTGAATCCGCATGATCAACCTGAACATGAACAAAATCCTCACGCGAAACTCCAGATCACACAACTCCTTTTGAACTGACTGGATTTCGCTCGTGAAATTTCACTGAGCTGCGCTACTTCTGAGTACACGTTAAGGGAATACTTCACTAAAAATGAAAATGTGCTGAGAATGTGCTCATCCTCAGTTCATCCCAGATTAGGATGAGTTTGTCTCTTCATCAGATCTGGAGAAATGTAGCATTGCATCAGTGTCTCAGCAATGGATGCTCTGCAGTGAATGGGTGCCGTCAGAATGAGAGTCCAAACAGCTGATAAAAACATCACAATAATCCACAAGTAATCCACAGCACTCCAGTCCAACTAGAAGCAACAGTTTGAAGTTAAAATGTCTTAATGCTGGATGTGTTTCAGCTTTTGTCTTCTCCAGATGTTAACTGATGGACTGGAGTGCTGTGGGTTCCTTGGGGATTATTGTGATGTTTTATCAGCTGTTTTGTGTGAACTATTCCTGTAAGAGGCTTGTTTCTGGCCAGAATAAGGCCCAGCAAGGACCAGACCTCATGCCGCTTAGTCAAAGGTCTGGTTGAGACTAGTTTAGACCCAACCTGCAGTGTTTGTTGTTGTGTGGAGAGCAGGGCTCGACTGGTCTGCCTGTAGCGGGACAGTTTCCTAGGCTTCCTCTGTCCCGGGCTCTTCAGAGTCTCGAGGGAGCCCTGCACACATGTGAGTTCCCGCGAGCCCTCGGAGCGCCCCTGATGCAGTTCTCAACGCCCCCCCTCGCACCCACCGCTCTGATACTCTTTGTCCCTTACGAGGCCCTTGCGTGAGCTCCATTATGAAGTCCAGACTCTGAGAAGGCAAGCTGAATGAAGGCAGTCCCCTGAAGAGCTCCGGCAGGGCCGCCGCAGGGCTCTGCCCATCAAACCAGACCAGCATGAACCGCTCTCCAGCTTGACCCAGCAGATAGTCCGCCAGAATGCAGCTCAGCGATGCGTCGAAGACCTCGGAGCACGTCAGTGACTGGACACCCCTGTCTACCCACGTCTGCCTTTCTTCTTCTGGTCTCTGTCTGGCAACTCGACAGCCCCATTCCTCTGCCCGCTCGCAGGCTGCCTGGGTCAGGACCAGCACAGCCTTGCCTCCGCGCCGCTGAACCTGATCAAGACAGGAGTGCAGCCAGGGCACGGGCCCCAGGGCGTTGATCTCCGAGCGGCTCCACAGGTCCAGAGAGACGCGGAAGCCCACGGCGGAGAGACTGGAGCACAGACGGCACACAGAGTCAGTGACAGTGCAGTCCGCATCGGGAGGACACACCAGCAGCACCTCCACACCCCCCGCCGCAGCTGAAAACACATGACTGTCACTCACAACAACTACAGGAACAGACCAGCATGAGAGGAGAGAGAATGAAGGAAACTCACGCTTCACATCGTCCACCTTCAGCCATCTGAACACGCAGCCTGTTATAGAGAGACAGAAGGGTTATCAGCACTTCAGCTCACAAAGATACACATTTTACACAAAAATCAAAAGAATAAAAATAATACACGTAGAAATTCAAGCCTGTTTTTTGTATTGTGACATTATTTCCATTAAATATGATTCCATTTCTCCACCCGGTTTGCGGTACTGTGAAAGAGCCGATGTGTTATATTTCACGAAGTTGGGGTTTTGTGGGATGCAGAGGACGGTCTGATGGTCTGTGGTCAGTTTCACAGTATCTTATGTTCATCATGCGCATGTAATTTAATGCTCTACAAACTTCATATGCAAAGATGTGACCAAGGTAAAGGAGGGAGGGGTTATGCTCCGGTGACACTACTTTCTCCAGTTCTGAATGTGGCCACTGACACGATGCACATGTGCTGATGTTTTCAAAAGTGATGTGACACGTGGCCAAGTATGGTGTCCCCCCCCCCCACACACACACGGTGAACACACACACCCGGAG